CCTGTCTTTCTTTATTCCTGTCTTTCTTTCTTTTCTTCCTCTCTCTCTCTCTCTCTCTTTCTATGAGCGTGTGCTTGAGCATATGTATGTATATGTACCATGTACATGAAGGAACCCACAGAGGTTAAAAGAAGTCATGGAACTATCTGGAACTGAGTTACAGATAGTTGTGAGCTGGGTACTGGGAATCAAACCTGGGTCTTCTTTGAAAGCAGTAAGTGCTCTTAACTACTAAGACATTTCTTCTCTCTTCTCTCTTTCCTCTCTCTTTCTCTCCAGACCCCTATATACATTTCTTAGCAGAATTCTAGCAACTTCGGTATCTTCTCTCCTAGGCCAGTGTGTTTCTACCTCTGCAGGTAGTTCTGAAAACTTGAGTGGTAGGGGGAGTTTTTGTTAGATTAGATTTGCCTGTTACATGTCTTTTCTTTCTTTTCTTCTTTTCCTTTCTTTTTTTCTTTCTTCCTTTTTTGTTTGTTTTTTTTTTTTCAAGACAGGGTTTCTAAAAAAAAAAAAAAAGAAAGAAAGAAAGAAAGACAGGGTTTCTCTGTAACTTTGGAGCCTGTCCTGGCACTAGCTCTTGTAGACCGAGCTGGTCTCGAACTCAGAGATCTGCCTCTATATGTCTTTTCATTTACTAATATAGTTATTTTCGTGTGTGTGTGTGTGTGTGTGTTGTAGTAGTAGTAGTAGTAGTTGGGATTAAAACTCAGGTGGCACTCTACTGCTAAGGTATATGTGCTGACGTATACTTTATATTTTGAGACAGTCTCACTGAATTGTGCAGCCTTGAACTTACTCTGAGGTTAGGTGGGCCTTGAATTTAATAATCTCCCTGCCTTAGCTTCCTGAGTACCAGAAATTACAAACTGTGCAATCAGGCCCCAGCTTTACTTATCTTATTAGGTAATATGGAAGCACTGAGTAACCACCTCAACAGAAGAAACAGAGGCCATAATCGGTGACCAGTCATCACCAATAGTGAATGGAATCAGGCCATCAGGTTGGTTCCATAGGTGGGGGTGCCTGCTGTAGGATATTTGTACACGGTGCGAAAATGTATTGCTATGATTGGTGTAATAGAAATCTGAGCAGCCAAGAGCTAGGCAGGAGAAGAGGCAGAACTTCCAGGAAGAGAAAAAACTCTGGGAAGAAGAAGGCAGGGTTGTTAGCCAAACACAGAGAGGAAACAGGTGCTACAAGATGGGAAAGAGGCAACACCACAGGGAAGAATATAGATTAATATAAATGGTTAATTTAAGTTATAAGAGCCAGTTGAGACAAGCCTAAGTAAAGGCCAAGCTTTCACAACCAATAATAAGTCTCCATGTTATTATTTTCGGGCTTGCTGTCCCAAGGAGAAAGCTTGCTGCAGGTGCCTGCCACCAAGATTGAGTTTAGCCCCCAGGACCCAAAGGTTTAGAGAGAACCAACCCCTGCAGGTTTTTCTCCGACTTCTACAAGTACCTACACATATAAACATGCACATCAACAGACAAGCAAGAAATCTTCCTTAAATTAATTTTTAAAAATTAAAATATAGGTCGGGTAGTGGTGGTGCATGCCTTTAATCTCGGCATTTGGGAGGCAGAGGCAGGAGAACCTCTGTGAGGTCAAGGCCAGCCTGGTCTACACATTGAGTTCCAGGACAGCCAGGGCTATGTAGAGAGACCCTATATCAAAAAAATCAAAATAAAAAGAGAAAAATAAAGAGAAGTAGAAAAAAAGAAATCTTCAGGAAAAAGAACATGAGAAAGACAGCTTATCTGACTAAGAAGCTCTAGGGCTGAGCACTGACAAGCACCCTCTGCCTAGCTCAGCGTGAGCATGCGTCATTTTGGTCCTGGCCGTGGGATGGACGCTGAAAAGGTTTACAAAGGCAGATAGTGGGGCTTCGTATACCAAAGACTCACTTTGCTCTATGCAGCTGATAGGCTTATTTCCTAGAAACAGAATTAAGGCTCTTAGGTACACTGTGACATCACTTGGTTTTTTTTAAATTTACTTTTACATGTGTGGGTGTTTTGCCTGATATTGTCTATGTTCCACTTGTTGCCTGGTGCCCTCAGAGGACAGAAGGTCACTGGAGTGACAGATGGTTGTGAGCTGCCATCAGGGTGCTGGCAATCCAACCAGCAAGAGCAGCCAGTGTTCTTAGTGGCTGAGCCTTCTCTCCAGCTCTGTGACATGATTTTGAAAAGGAGAGGAAATAAAGGAAAGATATATTTTCCTAGCAATAGCAGTGTGCTACTATGTTAGTATGGAAAGGACAGAGGGTGTCTGCAGAGTGTTTAATTTAGAACCCAGAGAGAAGATCACGTACTTAATCTGCAGAAACAAAAAGGCATTTTCTTCTGGCTTAAACTTCACAAAGTGATATGAAAGAGGGAGAACAAAAACTTTCATTCTCCTTACCCTCATCTTGTTAAAACTGTAACAAAATTATTTTTCTCTCTTTTCTTAAATTTACTTTTAGATGTATGGGTGTTTTGCCTGTATATGTGTCTGTACCATGTACAGTGCCCACAGAGGCCAGAAGTCAGGTCCCCTGTACCTTGCATTACAGTTGTGAGCGGCCATGTGGGTTCTGGGATTCAAACGAGGTCCCCCTGGAAGAGCACCTAGTGCTCTTAGCCGCTGAGCCATATCTCCACCCCAACCCCCTCAAAACTATTAAAATGAAAGTTTGGAGAGATTGGGTTTGATTGGAGAGATTAATACCAGAATTTGGGAGCAGAAACAGGCAGATCTCTATGAGTTTAAGGCCAGCTGGCTCTACATAGCTAGCCCCACGCTAGAAAAAAACTTAATGTCAAAAAAAAATCCAGGTGGTGGTGGCATATGCCTTTAATGCCAGCACTTGGAAGGCAGAGGCAGGCAGATCTCTGAGTTTGAGGCTAGCCTGGTCTACAGAGTGAGTTCTAGGACAGCCAGGGCTACACAGATAGACCCTGTCTCAAAAAACAAAACAACAGCAACCAAACAATAAAAATAATACAACAACAATACCAATACAGCAACAACAACAATAATAATGAAGACCAGGTGTGGTATTTACATTCATAATCTTAGCACTCTATGAGGCTTGGGCAGGAGACTATTAAGTTGGAGGCTAGCCCGGAGCTGCATTGTAAGACAGTGTCTAAAAGAAAAGGGGCAGAAGAGATGGTTCATCAGTTAAGAATGTTTGCTGCTCTTCAGGGGACTGGAGTTACATTTCCAGCACAAAAGTTAGGCAGCTCACAACCATTTGTGACTCCAGCTCCAGCAATCTGATCCTTTGTTCTCAGAAAGCACACTTGTGTGCAAACATACCCACACAAACCACATAAAAATTAACCTTAAAAAAGTTAAAGATGGGGGCTGGAGAGATAGCTCAGCAGTTAAGAGCACTGACTGTTCTTCCAGAGGACCCAGATCCAATTCCCAGCACCCACACGACAGCTAACAACTGTCTGTAACTTTGGTTCCAGGATCTGATACCTTCACACCAATGCACATAAAATAAATTTTTTAAAAAAGTTAAAGATAGGGGCTAAAGATATGGCTCAGCAGTTAAGAATACTGACTACTCTTTCAGAGGACCCAGGTTCAATTCCCATGGCAGCTCACAACTGTCTGTAACACCAGTTCCATGGGACCCAACACCCTCACATAGACATACATACAGGCAAAACACCAATACGAATAAAATAAAAATAAATTTAAAAAAATTAAAGACAGTACTCTGCACATCTTTAATCCCAGTACTCCCAAGGCAGAGGCAGGCGGACCTCTGTGAATTCAAGGTCAAGTTCTGGCCAGTATGGCTGCACGGTGAGACACTGTTTAAAAATAGCTGTATTCTAAAAAGAAAAGATGAGTAGGAGCCAAAGACAATGTGAGGTGACTCCAGGCAAGTCCTCAGCATCCTCCTCTTTGTGTATTAGGAGAAGGAGCTGTACTTTGCCTTGTTCACCTCAGACTCTACAGGGCAGTAGAATGGGGAAAGGTACTTGGGAAGTAAGACTAATCAACAATTGTGACAATCAGCATGGGGTACCACTTCCCAGACCACACTTCAGAGCCAAGGCATTTGTTCCTAAGCTGTGGGCTGCTGAGGACACATGGCTGGCTGAAGATTGGCTGGTGGATGTGAAGAATCTTGGTTTTTCTTGTACATGATCATTTTCCTTTACTTGTTATAGAAACATTTATTAATAACCCTTTGGTATACTTATCTCAGAGTCCATTTCCTGGAGTACTCATCCTATATAACAATACTATAGTATTTTCTTGCTTAATTTTGAAACAGGATCTCCTCTATTCCAGGCTAGCCTGAAACTCACAATGTAGCCAAGGATAACCAACCTTGCTTTACCTCCCAAGTGTAGATATGTATTACTGTGTCCGGTTTTATGCAGTGCTGGCTACCAAACTCAGGATTCATGCGTGTCAAACACTAGCAAATGAATCACATCTCTGGCCCTAATACTACAGTACTTTTTTCCTTTCTCGTGTGTGTGTGTTATGGGTACACACATTTGTCAGTGAGAAGGCACATGTGTGTGCATGTGGAGGCCAGAGGTTGACAGGCCCTGCTTGTCTTCTTCACTCCCTCTCTGTGATGTGATTCAGGCGGGTCTCTCAGTTGAACCCAGTGCATCTTAGTCTGGCCACCTAGCCATCCAGCTCCTCCCAGGGAACATCCATCTCCTACTTAGCTAACACTGGGATCACAGGCAGGTCCCCATGCCTACCCAGCTTTTATAGGGTGCAGGAGATCTCCAACTCTAGTCCTCAAGCTTATGTGGCAAGTATTTTTACCCACAGAGTCATCTATGACCACATACTACAGTAATTATTTTTTTAGAATTTCAGGCATATTTTATTTAAATTGTATCTCCAACAGCACATGATTTACTTCCCAGTTACAGTTCAAAAGTTTATCACTGGCGTAGAACTTTCCAGGTGACATAACAATGTCTAGAAGTCTCGAATTCTGTTAGAATTGTTGTCATTCTGCCATGAACACTTGGTTCAGCAGCTGAGCACACTGCACTAATCAGGTCAAGGACATGGGTGGATTTCACTCTGGTTAACTCATGTGCCTTCTTCATTACAAAGCCACAGTTTTCCCAACTCTGGATAATGTACTGCAAATGTGAGCTGTTAGTCATAAGGCATTTATATATTGGAGGGGGAGGAATGACCTGGTATTAATAACTGAGATTGCCGGGCTCTTACCTTACTACTGATGCTGTACTGCACTAGCCACTATGATCTTCCTGTTGCTAAGTAACAATACTCTGGGGAGGGGTCCAGGATGAACTTATTTAACGCTAAATCCTGCTCTCAGCAAACGAGGTTGGAGGGGCGTGTCTTTGGTAGGGTCCTATTTTGTATGTAAATACAAGAGTCCAGCTCTGACAGGAAATCCGAGTGCCGCCCTCTGCTGCTCCTGTAGCTTCCCTAAGCTTACATCTCTTCCTTGATGTCTAGACAACAGGATGGTGACCATTTACAAGACAACTTCCTCCCTTTTCTTACACAAGACTACACAGCCCTAAAGCAGCAGGAAGCTGTTTCTCTCTCTCTCTCTCTCTCTCTTTCTCTCTCTCTCTCTCTCTCTCTCTCTCTCTCTCTCTCTCTGTGTGTGTGTGTGTGTATTAGAATGTCTTTTCATTTCTTTGCTCAACCAATAAGAAAGCAAGCAACACACCAGCGCAGGTACACAGGCCGTAACTAAAAGAAAGCAAGCTTACCCAGTATCTCTCTTTTTCCGGGCCTGGATGGGGCAAATCTCACATCGGTATCTCTAAAAACAAATACTTTGAAAGTGGAGGATACACTGATAGAAAACTGGCTGCAGACTCCATTGCCCTTACTTGTTACATAATTTCACAAAGTCAGGTCAATCCTACTAAATTCTATGTAAATCTGTCAAAAAATCAAAAACCCATACAAAACAAAACAAACAAAAAAACCAACAAAAAACTTGTAGTCCTGATTGCCTGCCACCTGGATTTGTGAATATTCTCCTTTTCCCCCAAAACTTTTTCACCTATTTCCTTTCTAAGAACTGCCTTGGAGATTCCAGTTCTCTCCCCTTATTTCCCTCTAAGAAGTTCTTTTATTTTTATTTTTAAATTATGTGTACATGTGCATGTGAATGCCGGTGCCCATGAAGGTCAGAAGAGGATGTGGGATGCCCCGGGGCTGGAGTTACAGGTGGTTGTGAGCCATTTGACATGGTGCCAGGAACTGACCTCTTCAAGAGCAGTACATGCTTTTTGCAACTGAGCCACTTCTCCAGCCCACCTCAGTAGGAATGGCTGGGAGCCACCATGTGGCTGCTGGGAATGGAACTCAGGCCTCTGGCAGAGCAGCCAGTGCTCTCAAGGCTGAGCCGTCCCTCCAGCTCCAGCTCACCTCTAGGACTACCTTTGCTCTTGCGGTGGTGGCTTGCCCTTGGCTCCTCCACCTCATACAAACACAGATGTTGACCGAAAGTAATGATTTCTGCTAAGTGATGTGAACATAAGCAGCAGCTGGCACAGAAGGGCTCTCAGGGTTGGAGTTTGGGGTTCTAAATTTGTTCAAGTGATACAATCACATACAGATGAATCCAGAAATGTCAGTAGAGGCATACAGGAGCCAATGGGTATGTTTTTTTTTTTGTTTTATTTTTATTTTTTATTTTTCGAGACAGGGTTTCTCTGTAGTTTTTGGTACCTGTCCTGGAACTAGCTCTTGTAGACCAGGCTGGCCTCGAACTCACAGGGATTCGCCTGCCTCTGCTTCCCTAGTGCTGGGATTAAAGGCGTGCGCCACCACCGCCCGGCCTCAGTGGGTATGTTTTTATAGTAATTATCTGAGAAGGTTGCAATGCCACTACCACCCCCTTTTTCCTTCCTTCCTTCCTTCCTTCCTTCCTTCCTTCCTTCCTTCCTTC